ATAATTTGATCCACTTGATAGTTATTGGTTGGGAAGATCAAAGAAGTCCAAGAATGTAAAAAATCTTTAATTCTAAAAAGGTACAAATGTCACTGGCTATTATTCCAGCAGTTGACTCATAACTTTTATTAAAATTCTGTTTAATAAATATGAATAATGGGGGTGGCGCCTGTAGCTCAGTAAGTAGGACACAGGCTCCATATACCGAGGGTGGCAGGTTCAAACCCTGCCCTGGCCAGCTAAAACAGCAGCGCCAACTACAATGAAAAATAGCCAGGCATTGTGGCGGGTAACTGTAGTCCCAGCTACTCAGGAGGCTGAGGCAAGAGCATCACCTAAACACAAGAGCTGGAGGTTGGTGTGAGCTGTGACAACACAGCACTCTACTGAGGGTGACACAGTAAGACTCTGTCTCTAAATAAAATAAAATAAAATAAGTAAATAAGTATGAATAATGAATGAATGAACAGGAATAGACAGATGGATAGTTATCAGAGACACATCTTGCTCTCTTATAATAAAGGACTAAGGTGATCTGGACACTTTTATACTAGAGTGGGTTTATGGAGTGAATGAAGAGCTGCAGACCTAACTATTATTGAGAACTTTAAGCCACTCTTCCCCCTGGTCCAAGGTAAATGGAGCCAAAGGAACTAAGAGAATAAAAGAAAATGGACCAGGGCCTTAAAGAAAAGCCCAAAAGAATCAAACTCTAGGCTCAGCGCCTGTGGCACAGTGGTTACAACACCAACAACATATACCAAGGCTGGCGGGTTCGAACCCGGCCCAGGCCAGCCAAAAAACGACAATGACAATTGCAACAAAAACTAGCCAGGCATTGTGGTGGGCGCCTGTAATCCCAGCTACTTGGAAGGCTGAGGCAAGAGAATCACTTAAGCCCAAGAGTTTGAGGTTGCTGTGAGCTGTGACGCCAAGGCACTCTACCTAGAGCGACATAGTGAGACTCTGTCTCAAAAAAAAAAAAAAAGAGGGCGGCACCTATGGCTCAAAGGAGTAGGGCCCGCTCCCATATACCGGAGGTGGCAGATTCAAACCTCGCCTTGGCCAAAAACTGCAAAAAAAAAAATCAAGTTCTTCCCTAAAATTATGTTAATTTTTTCTACTCCCCACAGAGTTCACAGTTTGGAGACACTAGTAACAGCCTACCATATCTGATGGAGCTGCTTCTGTGTGTTTGTAGAGTGCCTGGCACAGGGCAGACACTCAGCAAATACTAGCCATTATTATTTTCTTAGAAAGCATGTTGTGATATTGATAAAGTATGGGTTTCAGAATAACATTGTTCTGAGTGACCTGGAGCAAGTTACTTTTAAAATCTCAGTTTCTTCATCTGTAAATTTGCATAGCACCTGGCATGTTCGTCATGACAACTCAATGGGTGAAAGAACACCTCTCCTGTAGTAGGCATTTAGCTAGTGGTTGTGCCTCATTGTATTCTGAGAGCTCAGGACCAGCTCCTAGTCAACACTTCCTATGTGGCAAGCACTGGGCAAAATGAGGCAGTACTTCTACAGAAGAGAAAGAGAATTAGGGACATAGCATTCACCTTTCAGCATCTCCCTCCACAGCTCTAGAGGGCATGGAATGAAAATTATCCCCCTTCCCTCAATGAGTTAGCCTACATTCTGAAAAAAACAAAGTCCCAAATATCCCAACCTCCCTCAGAAGTATTATTTGATCCCTATCACTGCACCTTCCACCTGTCTTCACAGCATTATTCCCTTTGTTCAGAAAAATCATCAGTGACTAACTTCCAGTTCCTGATAGGAATCAAGTCCAAACCTTTAACTTGATAAACTGATTAGCAAAACACTAATGGCCACAAAAGATAAATCTCAACTTTTTAATGGTATAACAAAATAGAAACTGATTTATTGGTCACATGAAGCAAAACACATAATCTAGATTAACAGGCAGCTCCCTATCAAGTGAAGATTCAGGGAACCAAGTTCCTTCCATCCTGTGGTTCCACTGTTTTTAACACGTGGCCTTCAGGATTACTGTGCTCAAAGTCACCTTTATCAAGCCAGAAAGGAAAGAATCTGAAGCATCTCCATTGGGAGGTTTTATAGGCTAGACCTGAGAGGGGAGGGGAACACATCAATTAAAGGAGAAGCTGACAATGTCGCTCAGCTATGTGTCCAAGAAGAAGACACAGGTTCTGATAAACATATAGCAGACTCTGTCTAACCTGGCACTCAGAATTCTCTACTCTCTGGCTTAAACTTTACCTTTCAAACTTTATTTTCCTACATCCAACTATGGCTATTAGCTCTACTGCAATAATAACCAACCCCAAAATCTCAGTATCTTACAATAACAAATGTTTATTTCTGATTTATGTATATGTATGTTGTGGGTGAGCTACTGGTCTGCTCCACTGGTCTTCTCATTATGGGACCCAGGCAGAAGGACCAACCCTCACGTGGAATATGCCCATCCTAGTGGGAGAGAAGAACAAGAAATGAATACTCATAAGCTCAAACATAGCCGTAAGTCACATCTGCTCACATCCCATTGGCCAAATTGTGAAACATGACCTAACCCAAAGTCAATGAAACGGGACTCATTCTGCAGAAGATACTGAAAATCACAGGGCAATGGGCAGGGAAAGATAGAGGAAATAATTCCAAACAGTAAGTCAATCTACTATTGCCATTTTCCATACAAAGCACATGGCAGACATTATTACCCACCACTCTTTCCTCAGAGTCCTCAACACAATATTTCAGACAGCCATTACCAATAAGCTGAGTTTGCCAAAAAAAAAGGTTGAAATTGATGTGCTATTCTTATGTGATTCTCTAGGCTCTAGTAAACCTTATTTATTCCCCCCTCTGATTCTTTGCTTTGACCTAGAATAAGCTTACCCTTTCCTGTACCCATCCTGCCAAATTATCTGAATTTAATCCATCCTTCAAATATCTGTATTTTATATTCATTCTCTCAATAGGATTATTGAATACCTAACATAGTACATAACACATAAATTTGTTGAATATGAATCTGTTTCACATTACCTGTGCCTTACACCAAGAACATGAATTCTCAATGAAATTTGTCCCCTATTAATTAATAGCACTGTTCCTTAGAACAATAGGAGTTAGTATCACATACCAGAGTTTCTGGGATGGGAATATGGTATACTGACCACCTGTACTTGACTCCTGTTTCTACTCCCTACTAGCTGAATGACCCTAGGCAAGTCACTTAATTGTTGGTGCCTCAATGTCATCATATGTTAAATGGGGATAATAATAGGGCCTACAATATATGGCTGTTGTATTAAACGCAGAAAAATCTTAGCCTAGATTGAACACATTGTAAACACCCAATAAATGGAAGTTATTATTTTTAGCTCCATCTGAGACAGTTTTCTTACAGGCCTTTATTCTGGATGGATAGAAGAGAAAACCAAAAACACTTGAGACTTAGGTCCTTGAACAAGCCTCACTCTTAATCCACCCCAGGACCTTGAGCCATGTCCTCATCCAGAAGCTTGTTCTCTAACTCATAAAACTTGACTAATGACACAGGCACATTACCTTAATCCCAATAACTTATTAAGTGCCTAGAGATCTTCAGATGAAAGGCACACAGGCAGACATCCCATTCAGTCATAAAAGCAAAACACTACCAAAACCTTGGAAAAGGCACAGGCTCCATAACTTAATGAAGCAGAGAATTAAAGCGGGCACATAGGAATACGAAATCAATCCTTAGACTGTAATCCCTTAATACAAAGACAGGGAGAGATAATTCTGAACACCTCAGATTAGAGTGGTGGAGGATGGGGAGAGGAGATAGAATGCCCACGTCTATAAAATGTGACTTGGGATGTGAGAGAAGTGTCCATCTTTCATCTCTCCTTAAAAAAACACACACACATACAGAGCAACAAGAAGTATTGTTACCCTAATTAATTAAAGCCAGTTAAAAGGCTTGGGCAGGGCGGCGTCTGTGGCTCATTGGGTAGGGCGCCGGCCCCATATACTGAGGGTGGCGGGTTCGAACTTGGCCCCGGGCAAACTGCAACAAAAAAATAGCTGGCGTTCTGGCAGGCGCCTGTAGTCCCAGCTACTCAGGAGGCTGAGGCAAGAGAATCGCCTAAGCCCAAGAGTTGGAGATTGCTGTGAGCTGTGACACCACAGCACTCTACCGAGGGGGATAAAGTGAGACTCTGTCTCTAAAAAAAAATAAAAAATAAAAGTCTCAGGCAAACAGGCCCCTGTAAGTGGCTTGTTTAGGAATTGTGGGAAGTCCTGAATTGTGCCAGGCTCCCTTTCAACCTCATTCTTTTCATTCTACCTCAAGCAAAGTATCCTCTTCCTAGATCCAGGAGCCACTCTAGAGAAGTCCAGTCCAAGTGTATGATGTGTTGTCAGGCCCCTTGGCACTGAAATCCTAAAGTTGAAAAAAATTGTCAGCCATGCAGAACACATAACTTTTACAAGATCTGTCCCTGAAACTGAAGCAGTGAAGAAACTGCTACTGCCTTGGTGAGTTTCCATCCCCTAAATGGTGGGTAGCTATGGGGTAGTGGCCAGAACACACGAGGCCGAGTCTGGCACCTCAAGAGCACTTCTATCATTGCATAGCTTTGACAACTCAAACACGGTCCTTAACCGTCCTGGGCTTGTATTTTTCCTTAAAGTGTGGACAACACTAATAGCTGTCACACAGGCGGTTGGGAAAAGTGAAAGAGGAGGCGTACCAGAAAACGTTCCGCCCACTGTAAATCGTTACACAGAATGCGTTAGAGCTGCAAATCCTCCCCACCCCCCAACAATGCACGTTACAAACCAGCAGTCACCTCAATACTGCCCCCTACTAAGGAATCATGGGCCGTGAAGTCCTTTGATCGGCACACCCTCGTTTGCCATGGAGGCGAGAACTACGCCTCCCAGGATGCCACGCTGAGGCCACAGCCACACGCGCCCTCGTCTCCGCCCCCGCTGCGCGAAGCTTCCTGGGATATGTAGTCTCAAATCTCAGCAGGAGCGGCAGGAAAGGACGCGGAAGGACCACAAGCCCCAGAAGCCCTCGCGGCCACTCTTCTCCCTCCCCTCAGGAGTCTGAGTGCTGTTTTTGTTGTTGGTGAAAGGTGAGGGGAACAGCTGATCCGTCTGTGGGTAAGAAACTTGGCCTAATTCGGGGCGATCTTATGCGGGAGGGGTCACCACACTTTCCAGTCTGCGAAAGGATAATCTAAGGGAAGTGTAGAAGGGAGATACAGGAGCGTTTGGGTTTTAACACTTTCCGTACTGGAGAAGACAGTTTGGGGAGTTCTTGGTTTCAGGGGGGCCACCAGCAGGGGATGCCCCCTCACTGCCCTCGCCGCCTTCTCAGTCCTTCTCGATAAAGCTTGATACGCTTAGGGAAGTGTAAAGGATCTGAAATCGTGGTTTATTCTTTCTCAGGCAAAACTTGGCCACTACAAATCTTCCCTCTATCCCCCACCCAAATCCAAAGGCCTTTACTACGCTGAATCCTTAGGGGACAGGGAACTCTCCAGGTTGTAGAATGTCAAGGAACTCTAGAGCCCTATAGAGTAAGGGGAGGGACACCCCCTCCCATATGTAAACATCTGGATCTGTCTACACACCTACACCTGCCCAGAACTTTCAGGCATGGAGAATGTTTACAGCTGTTAATGGATTTCTTTATGGAGAGTATTTATTTGAGGGTTCTCTAGGCTTAAATCTACGGGGACAATTCACACACTCCCTGGGAAAGCTGGAAGAACTATATTCAGAGAAAAATGGATGAGTTTTACCTAGGAATTTTTCAGAGAGATGAAAATCCAAAGAAATTTCTTGTCTTTTATTTAATCTCTATTTTTCAAGAGAGAAGTGGCCACTTTTTGTATTGCTGGCCGACCTTTATTTCTCCCTGAGCTTCTGTTTTCTTTTAAAGTTCCTGTCCCTCTTACTTTAGCCTGATGTGGCTTCGCGATGTTTGGGGGCGTGCACATGACTAGTGGTGATGGCTGATTGGACACATCAGCTGCGGCTGACACAGGAAACAGAGTAGAGAGCTGGAGAGGAGAGATGAATAAAAGGGCCATCTCACAGCGCCAGACTGATGAGTTCTCTTGATTTTTATTATTGTTACCTGTTGACACCCAACCTTCATATTTTCCAGTTAAGTCTCCCCAGCTAATTTGGAACACCCCTTCCTCTCAACCCTCTCCTACAGTATGTCTCCAACTACCAACCCAAAGAAATGGAGGGATTAAGGCACTGAGAATTGAGACTAAGGGAAGCAGAGAGAAAGTGACGAGGGAAATATTAGAGTGAAACCAGCAGGTTTCTCATCCTGCTGCAGGCACGATCTGGGAAGAAGAATGTTAGGTTCTTTTTGAACTATCTCTCCCTTGTTTTAACATTAAATATACATTTACCCTTATTGGGGCCCCCCACTTCCCACTTCCTAGTCTGTTCCTTGCCTAGGGGTGGGGCTTTCCTGGCTCCAAGCCCCCACATTCCATTTCCCCACACCACCACGTTCCTGCTAAGTGTTTCACTCCACCCTTGAAGCTGCCGCCTCCAGAATTCTTGACTTCCTGGAATAATAAAGTTGAGGGATAGAACCTGTCTTTCCTTATATCCGCCCCTTCCCTTTGTCTTTTTGGATGAGAGAAGAAGCTTTGTGCTTCTCTTGAATTCATAGTAGTAGACAGCTCAGAGATGGGGAAAGGACTGAGAGCTCAGGAGCCTGAAGATTGGGCTACCAGTTTTCCCTGCCCCCCTTCCCTCAGCCATATTACAGTTCTGAAAACTCAACCATGCCTTTCAGAAAGAAGTTGAGGTCATAACTCAGGGGTTACAATTTATTCCTGGGTACAGCTGAGTCAACAAGCTTAGAACCTGCTCAAAAGAAAAGGGCCCCACACCTCAGCTGGATTTTGAGTTCAAGAGTCAGAAAGTGTGGGAGATGAGATGGGGAAATAGAGGCTGGAGAATTTGGAATGCTCATGGAGATTAAGAAGTGAAAAGTAGGGACTGAGGGCGCAGAGCCTGGGATACTGCAATTTGGTTGGTCAATGGGACAGTGAAAAGAGAGCAAAAACAAGATATGAACTCTAAGAAGGATCTATGGGCCAGGTGTGGTGGCTTATGCCTGTAATCCCAGCACTTGGGAGGCCAAGATGGGTGGATTGCCTGAGCTCACAGGTTTGGAACCAGCCTGAGCAAGAGTGAGACCTCATCTCTAAAAATAGCTGGGCGTTGGATTGGGTGCCTATAGTCCCAGCTACTTGGGAAGCTGAGGCAAGAGAATTTCTTGAGCCCAAGAGTTTGAGGTTGCTGTGAGCTGTGATGCCATGGCACTCTACCCAGGGCAACATAGTGAGACTCTGTCTCAAAAAGAAAAAAAAAAAAAGAAGGGTGTATATAATCTAAAGCAGGTACAGTGTGAGACAGGGTGGGGCCTAACTTGGAAGACCAGACCTATATCCTAGAGACTAAGAATAATACCTGTAAAAGGTCCTAAAAGCTTCAGGGGCTGGAAACCAGGTATGCCTTCATCTCTAGGCATAGTGGCAGGGGCCGTGGGTGGGTGAAGATGGAGCAGGGGGAAAGGAGGTAGAGTGGAGAGACTTTAGGGTATCCATCCTCCTTGCTTTCACAGGAGGGCAGATATTTCAAGGGCAGGATGGAAGAATCATCACTAAGCCGGGCACCATCCCGGGGTGGAGTCAACTTTCTGAATGTAGCTCGGACCTACATCCCCAACACCAAGGTGGAATGTCACTACACCCTTCCCCCAGGCACCATGCCTAGTGCCAGTGACTGGATTGGCATCTTCAAGGTATCCCTGGAAGCCCTTTTGGCTTAGGTTCATGGGCCATGGTTTGGTTGGAATAAAGGGAATGATTAGGTTCTTAGATTCTCAATATCAAGTTGTTAGAAAAAAAGGGAGAAAGGTGTCACAGATGACAGTGGCCACTTGTATAAGCAAAGTTCATCTTCTCCCCCTCTTGGCCTTGTTCACTCCTAACACATTAGTGTCCCTCCCCTTAACCTGTCCCTTGCCATTGTTGCCACTGTAGCTCCATCCTGTCCCCTTCATTTAATCCCTCAGCCCTTTTCACCATCTGGAGATAGTAGTTCTGTCCCCATACCCCTCTCCTACCTTGGGCTTTCACAGGTGGAAGCCGCCTGTGTTCGGGATTACCACACTTTTGTGTGGTCTTCAGTGCCTGAAAGTACAACTGATGGTTCTCCCATCCACACCAGTGTCCAGTTCCAAGGTACAAGGGAGGATGGAAAATGGGAAGGGAAGAACCAAGGGAGTAGAGGTTTGGAAGAAGACATTGGGCTCAGAAACATAAAAGGCACAGAGGACAAGGAAATATAAGTGCAAATAAATATAACTAGATTATATGCAACAGGCTCAGCAGATGTAGACTCATGGGATTATCACAGAATCAGGGACTTAGGGATATAGAAGGAGCTTTAGAAGGCACCTAGTCCTACATCCTACCCAAAGAAGAAGGAACTCCTCTTATGGAACTAGAGGGTAGGGATGAGGGAAAATAGCATTATGTATTGAGAAGAGGATGGTCATAAGATTCTGAAAAGACCTGGGTTCAAATCTCAGCTCTGCTACTTACAAGCCAATTGGCCTTGAACACATCATGTAACCTCCCTTTTTCTGTTATCTGAACAGTGAAGGGGAACCTGGCTTACAGAGACAATATGAGGCTTTAAAATGATACAGGTGAATCTGTTAGCACAGTATCTGTTACATGGTAGACATTAAATAAATGGCAACTAGCATTATTATGATTATGATAGAGGGAGAGTGAGTTTGGGAAAGAGAGGAAGGAGAGGACTAGGCAAAAAAAAAAAAGGGAGAAAACTATCCTAGAAATAGTATGTGAGAGGTAGAGAGGAGGGAAAACAATATACAGAACAAGGAGCAAGGGGCTGGAGCCAAGGACAATGAATGATGTACCCTAAGGGGGAGGGGGACCTACTCAGTACTTGAGAACCTGGGATCACACTGGGGTCCTGGGCCCATTCTTCCTCCCGCAGCCAGCTACCTGCCCAAACCAGGAGCCCAGCTCTACCAGTTCCGATATGTGAACCGCCAAGGTCGGGTGTGTGGGCAGAGCCCCCCTTTCCAGTTCCGAGAGCCAAGGCCCATGGATGAACTGGTGACCCTGGAGGAAGCAGATGGTGGCTCTGACATCCTTCTGGTGGTCCCCAAGGCAACTGTGTTGCAGGTGAGAAAAAAGTAACAGAGTTGCTTCAGGTAGGGAGTGGGAGGACAACTTCCCAACTTACCCTCTCATCATCTGTAGCCTCCACTAAAGACCTCCTGGAAGTTATACAAAGCCCTGCCTTCAGCAAAGTCCCAATCTAAATAGACAGACATGAACATGTAAGGCAGGAAAGTAAGCCACCCACAGCCTGTGTAACTCAAGATTTCATAAGAACTTTTCAAGCCTTCCTTCTTTAAGGGCTATATTCTGCCCTAAGCCCTAGAGGAAGATCCAGATGGCAGAGGAAGTGTGGGGTATGTCCTGCTTCTAGGACAAGTGAGGAGCAAGAGCAGATAGGCAGGGGCCCAGACCTGCACTGCCCAGTACCAGAGGCAATTACCTATTGAGGCTCTTGAGCATGTCACATGTGACTAACCTGACATATACTGTATGGGTGAAATACACATTGGATTTTGAAGATGTGTTTTAAAAAGAATGTAAAAGACCTCAATAATTATTATATTGATTAAATGTTGAAATGATACTATTTTTGGCCCGGCACCTGTAGCTCAGCAGCTAGGGCACCAGCCACATACACCAGAGCTGGCAGGTTCAAATCTAGCTCAGGCCTACCAAACAACAATGACAACTACAACCCCTTCCCCCCCACCAAAAAAAATAGCCAGGCATTCTTGTGGGCACCTGTAGTCTCAGCTACTTGGGAGGTTGAGGCAAGAGAATCACTTAAGCCCAAGAGTTTGAGGTTGCTGTGAGCTGTGATGCCACAGCACTCTACCCAAAGCAATGGCTTGAGACTCTGTCTCACACAAAAAAAAAAAAAAAAAGAAAGAAAGAAAGAAAAAGAAATGATACTACTTTGGATAGACTGGGTTAGAGTAAATATTAGTAAAATTAATTTCACATGTTTGTTACTGCTTTTTTTTTTCCAGTTTTGTTTTGGGTTTTTTTTGGCTGGGGCCTGGTTTTGATCCCTCCACCTCAGGTATATGGGGCCAGTGCCCCACTCCTTTGAGCCACAAGCACCGCCCATTTGTTACTGCTTTTTAAAGGGGCTACTAGAAAATTTTAAATTATATATGTGGTTTGTATATTTCTATTGGGCCAAATAGAGAAGAATTAGTGAATGGAGGCAGACATTAACCTCCAGAAATCTTCCTCCTTTTTTTTTTTTTTTTTTGAGACAGAGCCCCAAGCTGTCCCCCTGGGTAGAGTGCTGTGGCATAGCTCACAGCAACCTCCAACTCCTGGGCTCAAGCAAGTCTCTTGCCTCAGCCTCCCAAGTAGCTGGGACCACAGGCGCTCGCCACAATGCCCGGCTATTTGTTGGTTGCAGCCGTCGTTGTTTGGCTGGCCGGGGCTGGATTCGAACCCGCCACCTTAGGTGTATGTGGCTGGAGCCTTAGCTGCTTGAGCCACAGGCGCTGAGCCTAGAAATCTGCCTTAAGGAAGGCAAAGGACAGGGCCACATAGGGAAGAAATAAATTCCCCAGTCACAAAAGGCTTGAGGAAGGCTCTAAAGGTAAGAATGAATAACTTTTCTGTGATTTAGACAAACTCCTCCCCTCTAGACAGAGTCTCACTTTCTTGCCCCCAGTAGAGTGCCATGGCATCACAGCTCACAGCATCAAACTCTTGGGCTTAAGCAATTCTCTTGCCTCAGCCTCCCAAGCAGCTGGGACTACAGGCACCTGCCACAATGCCTGGCTATCTTTAGAGATGAGGTCTTACTCCAGCTCAGGCTGATCTCGTGAGCTCAAGCAATCCACCCATCTCCTGGAGTGCTAGGATTACAGGCATGAGCCACCATGCCTGGCCAGAACTCCAAGTCTTATAAATACACATAGTCAACACAAGAACAGAAAGAAGATACTTGTGTATCTCACAGAAGTAAGAGATGTGTGAGCTTCTACTATGAGCTCTATTTTCACATTCAGGATTCTTTTTTTTTTTTTTTTTTTTTTTTGAGACAGAGCCTCAAGCTATTCCCCTGGGTAGAGTGCCGTAGCATCACAGCTCACAGCAATCTCCAACTCCTGGGCTCAAGCGAGTCTCCTGCCTCTGCCTCCCAAGTAGCTGGGACCACAGGCACCTGCTACAGCGCGGGGCTATTTTTTGGTTGCAGCCATCATTGTTGTTTGGCGGGCCCGGGCTGGATTCAAACCCGGCACCTTAGGTGTATGTGGCTGGCGCCTTAGCCACTTGAGCCACAGGCGCCGAGCCCACATTCAGGATTCTTATTTAAACTTTATAACAACCCAGACTAAGGGATCACTTTACAGATGAGGACACAGAGAAGCACAGAGGTTAACTGTTCAGAGTCACATAGCTAGTCAAGTGTAGTGGCATACACCTTTCCCAGCTACTTAAGAGGCTGAGGTGGGAGGATCTCTCAAGCTAGGAGTTTGAGGCTGCAGTGACCTGTGTTATGCCTGTTAATAGCCACTGCATTTCTTCCTGGGCAACATAGTGAGATCCTATCTTTTTTTTTTAAGTCACGTAACTAGCAAAAATTGTATTGAATATTTGAATCCATGTCTATCTAACTCCAGAACAGATGGGGTAAAATTAGGGGAGCCATCCATTTTGTTTGTGTTTATTAAGAAAGACTGTGCAAGACAAGATCCTTGGATTTACTGAATGAGGAACAGTAAGAGGGACAGGCAGTTGAGAGTGCTGTGAGTTGATGTGTCTAACTGGGTGGTGGGCAAGATTCAGTAGCATACCACACCTCCCCTCAACTCAGCTTTTTATAGCCTGTATTGATGTCACTTTCCAACCCTAAAATGCCCATAGAGAATGATGGAGATGGGACCTTCACATGGTGCCTCACAAGCATACTCCCCTTTCATCCTGTCCCCTGTAGAACCAGCTGGATGAGAGCCAGCAAGAACGGAATGACCTGATGCAGCTGAAGTTGCAGCTGGAGGGGCAGGTGACAGAGCTGAGAAGCCGAGTGCAGGAGCTCGAGAGGGCTCTGGCAACTGCCAAGCAGGAGCACACGGAGCTGATGGAGCAGTACAAGGTAGGAGTTGGGCCAGGTAGGGAACAGGGCCTGGCTGCTCACTCAGTGACCCAAATCTGTACCTGGGAAAAAGAGTGAAGGAGAGATGTTAGTGGACCTTCAAGATCATTCTGGCGTCAAGGAAATAGGTAGCATTAAGTAGGATTAAACTTGATATGACAAGAGACATGTCCCAGATTTGTAACGAGACTCAGTTCTTTGAACATAGGAATGCTGGGGTAAGGTGGAGGTGGCCATCTTCACAGGTAAGGGAATGTTCCCTTAGAGTTTCTTTTTCAAGGAAGGTGACGGGATAGGAGGGTGGGAGAACTCAAACTCTGGGGTGCTACTTTGTTCTACTACTTGAGAGATGAGTCTCAACCTCCTGCTTCTTCTTGGGGACCCTTAATTCCAGGGGATTTCCCGGTCCCATGGGGAGCTCACAGAAGAGAGGGACATCCTGAGCAGGCAACAGGGAGACCATGTGGCACGTATCCTGGAGCTGGAGGATGACATCCAGACCATCAGTGAGAAAGTGCTGACAAAGGAGGTGGAGCTGGACAGGTGAGGGGACCTTCCTTACTCCCATCACTCCCCTCACTTGCAGTGACTCCTTAACTCCAGCCTCCTATTTCAGGAAGGCAGACCTCTCTTACACGGTTTCTCTTTCCCTCCTGAATCTCACGCAGGGTATTCTAATTACTGGGGATGTTTTTCTGCCTAGCTGTCTGCCATCTTTTCTAACATTATTCTGCATTCCTCACCTTCAGAAGTAATCATAGTTGCTGTTTATGGTGGTGGTAGCTAAGCAAGAGCTAGGACTGGAGGATTTGGAAGAAGAGAATGAGTAGAATAGGCAGCACAAGATAAGAGAGATTTCAAATTTTGCCACAGAAAAGACAAGATTAGACTCTGTTCTTACTATTAAGAAATGTTAGAACTGGTGATCCAGGAATATTATGGAATAACGCCCCTGAAAAAAGGTATAAATCACAGAATCATAGCATTGGGAGGAATATAAGGCATATAAGCAGGTATGAAAGAGAAGACCACCCTCAGGAGACAGCCTCTTTCAATACTAGGCAGCTGTCACTTTTTATCTCTTGTGTTAAGCCAAACTTTCCTCTCCTATAATTTACCACTGGGTCCTTGTTTTAAACCTCTGGACCCACATGGAATAAATTTCCTTCTTCTACCAGAAAACTGTTATTTCTACCAAATAGCTCAAATATTGACTGCTACCTCCCATGTCTGTCCTTCAAATTTTTGTCAGTTTAAACATTCTAGTTCTTTCATTCATCAAATGACATAGTTGCGTTTCATTCAGTACTTGTAGATTTGATTGTTTTTAAAAAAATCTTCAAAGGCAAGAGGCATTCTGTCTAAGGCCCAGAGTAATAAGTGAGTTCACCTGAGAGGCTTCTTCAGAATGTTAGTCTTGCCCTACAGAGGTATTAGATGTCTCTGTTGCAAGTCACAGAACAGAAAAGCAGTAATCAGGTTGAGCATCTGAAAAAGATAAGGTACTGTCTAGACCAGAGGTAAACAAAGTATGGCCCATGAGCCAAATCTAGCCTGCCACCTGTTTTTGTACAGCTCACAGGTAAAAAAGATTCTTTTGGTTTAATGGTTGGAGAACAAATTAAAAGAATATTTTGTGGGCAAAAAAAAATAAAATAAAAAGAATATTTTGTGACAGGTGAAAATTGTATGAAATTCGCATCACAGTATTCACAAATTAAGTTTTATTGGAACACCGTGCTCATTCATTTACATATTGTCCATGGCTGCTTCCTCACTACAGTGACAGACTTGAGTAATTGCTACGGAACTTGCAGGGACTATAAAGCCTAAAATATTTACTATCAGGCCCTTTATAGAAAAAGTCTGCCCTTTATCTGGAAAGACTGGATTCTAGTCTCTTGATTGAGTGAAGACAACCAGAAGCCATCAGCAGAACATTCCTTAAAATGTTATGTAGAGGATCAGCACCCGTAATTCAGTAAGTAGGGTGCCAACCACATACACCAAGACTGGCAGGTTCAAGACTGGGCCTACTAAACAACAATAACAAATGCAACAACAATAAAAAAAAAAATAGCCAGGTGTTGTGGCGGGCACCAGTAGTCCCAGCTACTTGGGAGGCTGAGAAAATCACTTAAGCCCAAGAGCTGGAGGTTGCTGTGAGCTGTGATGCCACAGGCACTCGACCCAGGGCATAGTGAGACTCTGTCTCAAAAAAAAAAAAAAAAGTTATGTAGAATGATAAGCTGGGCACAATGGCTCATGCCTGTAATCCTAGCACTCTGGGGTGCTGAGGCAGAAGGATCCCTTAAGCTCAGGAATTTAAGACCAGCCTGAAAAAAAGACCCCATCTCTACTAAAAATACAAGAAATTACCCAGGCATGGTGGTGGGTGCCTGTAGTCCCTGCTACTCAGGAGGCTGAAGCGGGAGGATTGCTTGAACCCAGGAATTTGAGATTGCTATGAGGTAGGCTGATGCAATGGTACTCTAGCCTGTGACAACAGAGTGAGACTCCATCTCAAAAAAGTAAATAAATAAGAAAAATTATTTATTTCTAGATTATTCCCCAGAACTTGGAATCTTGGGTTCTTTAGGCTTAGACCTGGATCATTTGGCTTGGGGATTTAAGCCTGCCAGAGTAAAGTGGAGGTCTGGGCCTAGACAAACACCAGTAGAAGAAAACAAGACAGATGTCTAAGTCCTTCATTCCTTCATCTGGGTGACCAGATTATCTGACATGTCATCCCCCCACTCACAGGGTTAGAGACACAGTGAAAGCCCTAACTCGGGAACAAGAGAAACTCCTTGGGCAACTGAAGGAAATGCAAGCAGACAGGGAGCAAAGTGAGGTAAGGGGCTCCGAGTTGGTTTGCTTTCTCCATTGTTCAGCTAGTATTTATTGAGTCCCTTCTGAGTGCTGGGCACCAAAGGGAAATAAAAATGTGAAGAATACATTGTGTGCATTCTACTAGGGAACATAAGACATATACCCAAATCAGGATTAATCAAAGTAGAATATAAGAAGTATCACAAGAGAAATCTAATGGAGTATCATGAAGTGCCAGGGAGATGGATAAGAGCACATCTTGTTAGATATCAGAAAAGCCTTTCAAAAATGGGGCTTAATACCACTGTATGGTGGCTCACACCTGTAATCCTAGCATTCTGGGCGGCTGAGGCATGAGAATTGCTTGAGCTCAGGAGTCAGAGACCAGCCTTAGCTAGAGCCAGACCTCATCTCTACTAAAAATAGAAAAATTACCTGGGCATCATGGAGCATGCCTGTAGTCCCAGCTACTCAGGAGGCTGAGACAAGAGAATTGCTTTAGCTCAGGAGTTTGAGGTTGCTGTGAGCTACAATGATGCCATTGTACTTTACTCAGGGCTACAGAGTGAGATTCTGTCTCAAAAAAAAAAAAGGCTTTAACTAGCCTAGCACTTTCAAACCTTTTTAGGAGAAACTTTTCCTCTCCACTCACCAATGAAGTTTTTCATTTTAAGTGAAACCTCAATGAATAAATATAGACAGTTTTATTAACATAAATTTATTTTTGTAAATTCAAATATATAACAGAGTAATTTTTGATGGAAACCAAACTTTGAAATTAGAGCTTATGGATGACTGTTGTGTCAGGCTCAGCAACTAATACATTTGTATATGTTACTTTGGTTGCACACTATTGAGAACAACTGAGTCACACACAAGTAGATGTGAATGATAACAATTTTTAAACTGTCCAACCTTGCCTTCTCAGTTTACCCTTTAATTCAATAGAGATTTTATATTCTATTGAATACATTTCAATAGAATAGGATAAAGTAAAATAAAGTTCAATAGAGTGTGGGTGAAAAGGTTTACACAAAAATGAATTAACCTAAAAACACATGTCTGTGGATTGGTAATCTCCAATGTATTAACTTGTGAGTTTGTGTGTTATTTTTAGCATATATTTAATAAGTTAGAAGAAATTCAGATCAAAAATTCACAGAGTATCACTTCCTCAGAACCCTGGGTTTGTATTTAAAAAGCTGTTGTTCAGCAGTGGAAATATGTAGAACTTGAGTAGACAGAGCTGACAGGGAGGCTATTGTAGGAATAGAGAAAGAAAGGAGCAAAGGCTTAGGGGCCTGAACATTCAGGGCAGTGTGGGTAAGAAGTTTGAGAGAAGGCCTAGCTCAGACTCTGGAGGATCTTGAGTTTAGTCATCATTCTGTAAGCAGAGAGAGGCTTTCATGGTTTTCATGTAGGGGTAACATGTATTCAAAGAACTGTACTTTAAGAATCAGAACTGTACTTACAAAAGATTAATCTGATTTTCCCTGTGGAAAATGAGCTGGTTAGGAGGTTATTCGGTAGTCCAAGCAAGAAATGACCAGAGCCTGAGCTAATGTGGTTGTGGCAGTAAAAGAAAAGAGAAGACAGCTGTCCAGAATGGAGGATAGAGAAGCAATAGGCTTCTCTGCGGGCTGCTAGGGAGAGGACAGAGCCAAGCAGGGCACCCAGGGATCCAGTCTGGGTGACTTAGGAGGAAGGTAGTACCTTGGGGACAGAAATAAAAGTAGGTAAGACTAGTGAGGGGTGGGAGGTAGACTATACTGGGCTCAAGAGGCCTGTAAGATATCCGTGCTGAGTTTTGTTCTAAGAGAAGAGGAGTGAAGAAGCAGAAATGGGATGTCAATACCTTCATGTAAGACCCCAGCTATGATGCTGGATAGCTCATTTCCAGAGCTGGAGGCTGGAAGTGTGGGATTAAATCCCTTTGAGCTGAGAACCCAAGAATGGCTGACAAGAGCTAAATGCTGGCTCGGTGCCTGTGGCTCAAGCGGCTAAGGCGCCAGCCACATACACCTAAGGTGGCGGGTTCAAATCCCCAGCCCGGGCCCGCCAAACAACAATGATGGCTGCAACCAAAAAATGGCCAGGCGTTGTGGCAGGCGCCTGTAGTCCCAGCTACTTGGGAGGCTGAGGCAGGAGACTCGCTTGAGCCCAGGAGTTGGAGGTTGCTGTGAGCTGTGATGCCATGGCACTCTACCCAGGGAGATAGCTTGAGGCTCCGTCTCAAAAAAAAAAAAAAAAAAAAAGAGCTAAATGCTTGAGTGTGTGTTAAATCTGAGAAATGGAACATTGACTCCCTTATCACAATAATTCACCTCCTTAACCACCCCAATACATATACTCCTTTCCATCAGGCTGAGCTCCAAATGGCACAGCAGGAGAACCATCACTTAAATTTGGAGCTACAGGAGGCCAAGAGCCAGCAAGAGGAACAGCGTGCTCAGGTCCAGCGACTAAAGGACAAAGTGACCCAGATGAAAGATACCCTAAGCCAGGCACAGCAGCGAGTGGTAAGTGAAGGCCCCTCAGCAACAGGAAGCAGTGAAAGGTTTATGGGCTAATTGTAGAAAAGTTGGGATCACCAGAGAAAAGGATAAAAGAAACAGCTAAAGACTAAACAATTCAAACCTGAGTCCCAGCACAGTAGTTGTGGGAGGGAGCTTGTTTACTTCCCTGGTTGACAAATGGTTCACTGAGAACTCTGATCTCCATCTCCTCCTTTCCCCTGAGGCTGAGCTGGAGCCCCTGAAGGAGCAGCTTCGAGGGTCCCAGGAGCTTGCTGCCTCAAGCCAGCAGAAGGCCACCCTCCTTGGGGAGGAGTTGGCCAGTGCAGCTGCAGCCAGAGACCGCACCATAGCCGAGTTACACCGCAGCCGCCTGGAAGTGGCTGAAGTCAACGGCAGGCTGGCTGAGCTCAGTTTGCACTTGAAGGACGAAAAATGCCAGTGGAGCAAGGAGCGAGCAGGGCTGCTGCAGAGTGTGGAGGTAGAGGGATAAGGGGACCTGGTCATCTGATGGCCACTGCCCCCACATGTGGGACTCCAACATGTGGTCAGACCCTTTGGGAGGAGAGAAAAGGGGTTGAAAACCTTAGCGGACCCAGGTGTAGAGGATATTTCAAGGAAGTACACTTACTTTCTAGACATGACCCTCCCTAACCAGGGTATCCCAGTCCTGATCACCATGGCACCCCTTTCTTGGTTATTATACTTGGTAGAGAAGCGTCTTCTGTCCTAGGCTTCAGGCCCTGCCATCATGCCCATCCCTGATCAGCACATGCAGTCATGTCTTATCCTTCACTCAGAGGGGATAGGAAATAAGGAAGGCAAAAAGGGGAAATTGCTCCAAAAACAATTCAGTCAAAGTAAGGAAGGCACACAATGAGGTCTGGTGGTGTTGGCTGTGGCATCCCTTTTCCTTCCCCTTCCTATTCTAATTTTCCTTCCCAGGCAGAGAAGGACAAGATCTTGAAGCTGAGTGCAGAGATACTTCGACTGGAGAAGGCAGTTCAGGAGGAAAGGACCCAGAATCAAATGTTCAAGGCTGAACTGGCCCGGGAAAAGGATTCTAGCCTGGTAAGAGATCCAACCACCGTGAGGTCTGTCCTGGGGTCTCTGGAGGCATCAGTGCCCCTTATCTCTGTCTTGGATATGGTCTCTGAAGTGTTAGCTGCCCAATTCTGTGTTGGACAACATCTCACTTGTACACCTCCGAGTCTTCTTGGTTTGAAATGTGCAGTGTCCCTCTCAGGGCACACTTCTGGGCCTAGTAGTAATACAGTGCCCCCTCCCCGCCAGTATGACCAAAGCCTCTGCACCCTATCCCAGAGGCAGTCATCCAGGTCCACAGAAGAGGCAAAGACTAGGTCTCAGATAACTGTGTCTCTGTGACTAAGACAAGGAACTTCTAGAGGAAGGGTAATGGGGATCCCCCTGTATGTGTCAGAGAGAGAGGATCAAAAACAACAGGGAGACCTGGTTCTAGGTTGTTGGCCCAGTTCCCGGAGCCCAGGTTCTTGGAGTTACATTCTAAGCTCCAGATTCTATCGACCCTTCTCCCTCAGGTACAGTTGTCAGAGAGTAAGCGGGAGTTAACAGAGCTGCGGTCAGCCCTACGTGTGCTCCAGAAGGAAAAGGAGCAATTACAGGAGGAGAAGCAGGTGAGAACCCATAACTCAGCCCTGTGGATGCCATAGTTAAGGACTTGAGGGTTAGAAACTTTGTATCTTCTCAGCATCTCTCATTTTAGAAACTGGAATCTCTTAAGAGGGCCCTGATGCTAAAAATGGCACCCTAGCTCCCCTTATTAGCTGTCTTGGCAGGCCATGCGAGGGTCACCAGGAGAAGAAGGGACATAAAGGTTGAAAGAAGGCTGCTGGATCTACCTGAAGCTGCATACCCTTCCATGAAGCCATCTAATCCTGAGGAGCTAATAGTTCATCCTGGACGAAGGGAAAGGCTCTGTGGCCAGTAAGGTTGGCATCTGCCCAGCCTGTAGCACCTGCCTCTTTCTTCCCCAACTCTAGGAACTGCTAGAGTACATGAGAAAGCTGGAGGCCCGCCTGGAGAAGGTGGCAGATGAGAAGTGGAATGAGGATGCTGCCACAGAGGATGAGGAGGCCACTGCAGGGCTGAGTCTGTACACCCCTATCTGTGACACCTCTTCCTCCCTCCACCTCCCCCTGCCATGTGACCATCTGGGAGTTGCCTCTGCCTTTTATGTGTTTTGCCTTTTCCTTTCCAGTCCTGGCGCCTGTTTATTTGAACTATATTCCTCATGCAGAGGAGACAGCTGATCTCACCCTCTAACAATGCATCCTTTCTCTGCCTGCTTCCTCTCCTAAAGGCTGCCCAGCAGCTCTGACAGACTCAGAGGATGAGTCCCCAGAAGACATGAGGCTTCCTCCCTATGGCCTATGTGAGCGTGGAGACGTGAGCTCCTCTCCTGCTGGGCCCCGAGAGGCTTCTCCCCTCGTTGTCATCAGCCAGCCGGCTCCCATTGCCCCCCACCTCTCAGGGCCAGCTGAGGACAGTAGTTCTGACTCGGTGAGCAGAAATAATAAGGAGAGGTAGGGCCAAACCCAAGTGTCCCAGCCTCCAGAGCGGGAAGTCTTAGCCATATAAGAGAGGGGAGGCAGGCCCAGCCTCTCTTTGAGGCCACCAATGGATACCACCCCCCAAACCAGTCCATCTCAATAGCCTCCCTGCTTCTTCCTCACTTTCATTCTCTTCCTGTCCACCTGCCCCCATTGAAACGCTTCTCCTGCCTCACTCTTCCTATAGCCTCTCTGGTCACTGTCCCAGCCTTGGCTGCTTTTCCCTTACCTGTCCCAGTGTGCTGCTCTTCTATCTTAGGACACCATCCCCAAACCCAAATCTCTTTTTGGTACCCAGGAGGCTGAAGATGAGAAGTCAGTCCTGATGGCAGCTGTGCAGAGTGGGGGTGAGGAGGCCAACCTGCTGCTTCCTGATCTGGGCAGTGCCTTCTATGACATGGCCAGGTGAGTACAGCCAGAGAGGACAGGAGGGAGATGGGGAAGTAAGGAGAAAAAGGCCATCTATGTGACCAATCACCATGCCCCGCTCCCAACCTCCCCCTTCATGACCTTAGTCAAGAAAAGGAAATACAGGCTCGGCACCTGTAGCTCAGCAACTAGGGCACCATATACACCAGAGCTGGTGGGTTCGAATCCAGCCTAGGCCTGCTAAACAACAGTGATAACTACAGCCAAAAAATAGCTGGGCATTGTGGTGGGCGCCTATAGTCCCAGCTACTTGGGAAACTGAGGCAAAAGAATCACTTAAACCCAAGAGTTAGAGGTTGCTGTGAGCTGTGACGCCAGAGCACTCTACTGTGGGTGACATAGCGAGACTCTGTCTCAAAAAAAAAAAAAAAAAAAAAAAGAAAGGAAATATAGATGTGGTACTTGACACAGAAAATTACCCACTGCTCAAAATCCCAGTGGCTTCAGGTAAACCCTCCCTCTGTCTGATCAGTGCACTCAGAGGTCCTGCCTTTAACTGGCTTCTGTATTGTTCTAGCACCATCTACCATGGAGCCCAAATTGCCCTGCATCCCCTCTTTCCTGCCCCTACCCCTTCCCCAACCACCAGGTAGGTACCTAGGCTCTTCGGGGAAGGAAGGGAGGTGATGAGGACTCCAGGGATGGGAGCAGAGAAAAGACTGGGGCCCAGCATCTATCTATCTGCACCTGAGATGCTTTCCCTCTTCCCTGACTTCCTTGGAGATAGAACTTACAGAGGTGGGGGATTCGGGTATCAGATTGTGCCCTCTGCCTTCCCTTCGTTTCTCTGGGTCGAGAGGGCAGGCACTAGGGAAGAGAGATTTAGTCCCCAGCTTTGCCTGGGTATGAGATGGGTTCAGGGCAGGGAGAGGGTGATGCTGTCATCCTTCTGACTGGAGCAGGAAGATGAAGGACAGTGTCAGACTCATTTTCAGCCTCATTAGGCAGCAGACGGAGATGGAGGGAGGAGAGCAGTAAGTTGGGGGATGGGCTCTGCACTGCAGAGACCAGCCAAGACTAAAGAAGGGAGGAAGTGGGGAGCTGGAAAACCAGGGCTCCAGTATTATGAGGAGAAAGATACTGTAGGAGAAAGCAGAGGAGAGAGCCACAGGATGCTGCCCTGGGAATGGGATGATCTGGGAACCCGGGTGTATGGGCCCTGCTCCCTGAGGTCTACAAGTCAGAAAGATAACAGCACGCTGACCCTCTCTTTCTCCCTTCTCCCTAGTGGCTTTGCCGTGGGTCCCATGTCAGAGGCCAGCACCGGGGGCCCTGCCACTCCTCCATGGAAGGAGTGTCCTATCTGTAAGGAGCGCTTCCCTGCTGAGAGTGACAAGGATGCCCTAGAGGACCACATGGATGGACACTTCTTTTTCAGCACCCAGGACCCCTTCACCTTTGAGTGATCTCACCCCTCCCTAGTACATGCACACACACACACACTCTCTCTCTCCTACACACTCACACACACATGCACTTCAGTGTCGTGCCTGTTTTCCATCACACTGGGCTCCATGATATTCTGTTCTCTAAGAACTGCTTCTGGGCGCCCTGTTTTCACCCCAAGCTTTCTTACTTCATCCTCTCCTCCCTGGCTTTTTTGTGTCAGGCAGGAGCCCTTCTCAGAAGCAGTGGCTGAATGTTCCCCCTGAAAGCGGGGAAGAGCCAGGATGGAGGAGGCCTTCCCCTGTGGGAGCAGAATCATCCATTCCCAGCCCTGGTCGCTTCTGATCCTCACACAGCCACTGCACACACACACTCACACACACTCCCCTCTCTGATGCCCCAAAGCCAGTTCCTGGGGCACCCCACCCTCTCTTATTTGGGGCTTATGTTTGTTTACCCGAGTTTTCTCTGGGGCCTGCATAGAGGCAGCATGGACATCGTGACCTCGTAGGTCTCTTTCGGTTCTCAGCATCATTTGTTCCTCTTTTTCTCCCTCTGTTGCCTTCTGTACCCCACTCCAGCCTTTTCCATAGCCTTAGGTATTAAGTTTGGAGGTTTCTTTTATATTTTAAGGATTCCTGTACCCTGTCTCCTCCCCCTTGCCGGCCTCCCCGCCTTGTCCTCACTCCCACCCCTGTAACCTCACATGGAGAGAAATAATGTATTTGTGCCTTCTTGGAGGGATGGGGGGAACAAGTGGTCCCTGGTGTCCTCCTTTCCCAGCCCCTCTTCCCTCTCCAGGTACCCCCACAGCAATAAGAATCCCTCCCTCATGCCTTTCCCCTCTATCTGTAGTTTGAAGTTTGGACAAATATATTTATATGATATGTAAACCATTGTCATAAAGTGCGTCCTTTTATTTTTTATTTTTTATTTTGAGACAGAGTCTCACTCTGTCACCCAGGCTAGAGTGCCTTGGCATCAGCCTCACCCACAGTAACCTCAAGGAACCCTCCTGCCTCAGCCTCCCATGTAGCTGGGACTACAGGCGCCCCTCACAATGCTTAGCTACTTTTTCTATTTATAGTACAGATGGATACTTGCTTTTGCTCAAACTCCTAAGCTTGAGGATCCTCCTGTCTTGGCTTCCTAGAGTGCTAGGATTACAGGTGTGAGCCATGTGGCGACATACCTGGCCCTAAAGTGTCTTCTTACCAGGCGTGTGACTAGAGCAAAGAGGGTCCAGACCTCTGGCTCTTATAAGCTCATGGAGGGACAAGGGAAGGCGGGGACTCATCCCTGCCTCACAGGGGAGAATGCTGAGCGGTCATTTTCCCACTGTCCCTCCTAACGTGCTGGCACCAGTCAGAGGAGGAAGGGGAGGAAAGAGCCTTTGGAGAATACTGCAGTGGAGGGAGGAAGCGCATCTGCCTCAGTTCTACTCAGGGTTAAGTCCCAGGGTAGGCATATGGCATGAAAAGTTGGACAAGGTTTCCACTGCTTAGACCTTCACCCTCTATAGCAGCCATCACTATACCTTAGGCCAAAGGCTAGGCATTACTTCTGTCAAGGGTGTACACCTTTGAGCATCCACTTAGTAAAAACTGCCCTAAGCCCCATACCTCTAAAGACTGTTTGACATTTCTCCCACCCTTGTGTCTGTCTCTTTCTCTGTTGCCATCCCCACGTTTCCATATGCACACTCTGACTCCACAGTCACAAAAACACATCCATCCACTCTAACCAGCATCGCAGGCTAGACAGACACATACACAGCATCATAAAGCATTTATTAAGGACCTGCATGCTCACCAAGGCTCTCAGCAACGTTCTGCACAAGCACGTGCTGCAGCCCCCTTGCTCTCCATCCCAGTGGCTCCCTTATCAGCCACCGTACACTCCCTTCAGACCACCCCCACCATTCCCTCTCTCCATTCACCTGAAACCCTCCTGTCTACCCTCCTTCCAACCCCACCTGGATGACATCTTACATCCTTCCTTCTTCCCTCACATCTCTGTCTCCTAGCAACCCCATCTCATTCCCTGAATCCCTTCCAAGGAAATTAGAGATAATGGATCTCTCCTCTCCATCTCAACCCCTCTTTATTGATCCTCCTTTAATGAAAGTTAATTATAACAATGATTTAATTAATAGAATCCCTCTCTTCCTTTATTGCTTCCCGTATTAAGACTATTAATAAATACGAGCTAGGCTGACAGAGGCATCCATCACCCGCCTGGGATTCCCCCCACCCCTCCTTTTACCCTCCCCTTCACCCCCTCCCTCTTTTGGCCTATAAACTTGCCGGGGTAGCGGGGGTTAATCAGAGAGGAATTATGAGCCAACATCCCCAGCAGGAGGTACATTTAATGAAATCATTTCTGATTTATTTCTGGGGGAGGTTGGCGAAGGAAGAATCTGGGACCCACACATCCTGGCTTCCAGAAGGGTGGCCCTCTAGTGCAAAAAAGGAAGAAAGAAGACAGAAACAGGGACCCAGACCTCCTACCCCACAGCCCCTGCCAAGCCACACACACCCACAAGAGCCATGTGGCTCACTGTATAAGGCCATTGCCATAGCTGTCAAATCAAAAGCATATATAAGGACTGCGTGCAGGTTTTGCAGAGTGAGATTTCTGCAAGTGTCTGGGGCCATTCCTCTTCCCTCCTGGTGATTTGCCTCCCCAGCATCCAGGCAGCTCCCTGACATGGAGGGAGCTCAGGGGAGGGTAACCGACTATACAGGCAGGGATGGAAGACAGCTGGGGCCAACGCTAATTCTGCATCCCACTCACTGCACGGCGTTTGGCAATTCAGCCTTTGTGCTACTTTCCCTTCTGTGATGGGTCATCTCTTCCCTCCATGCTTCCTAGCATCTGAGCAGAAGCTGATAGAGCTAAATGGGTTTGAGATTCTCATGTGAAAGGAAAAGTCAGACCAAGTGGCAGCAAGAAGGGACTCGTGTCAGTATTTGGGGGTAGAAGAAGGAATCCAAACACCACTTTCCACTTACAGAACCTCAATGGCTGCCTGTTACCTACAGGAACAGCAAGTGCAGACTGCTTAGTATGTAAAGCATGGTCCTCACCGTCTTGTCCCAACTTGCCTTTCCTTTTCCCCATCCTACCTTAAGGAACCCTGTACTCTAGGATAACAGAAACATTCCACAAAGATATGCACTGCTTTTGCATGCCTCTGAGCACAGACTTCTCTCAGCTCAAAAGACACCTCCATAAAGCCTGACTTAACTTCCCTCGGTTATCCTTCAAGATCCACATATAGCACTCTGTAAAAGCATGCTACATCATGTTTACAACTTTTTCTTCTCTCTAGACCAGCAGTTCTCAACCTGTGGGAACTGTACTAAAGGGTCATGGCATTAGGAAGGCTGAGAACCACTGCTCTAGACTATAAGCAATTTGAGGGTAGGTTCGTTGCTGTGTTCCTAAAACCTCCTACAAAAACTGGCACATAGGTCTAGTCCCCCCAAAATGATTTTGAAATTATTTTAATGAAATATATACATACAAAATAAAATATATAAAGAATCAAGGCTGAGTGCAATGGCTCACACTTGTAATTCTAGCATTCTGGGAGGCTGAAGTAGGTGGATTGTTTGAGCTCAGAAGTTTGAGACCAGCCTGAGCAAGAGTGTAACCTAAACTCTACTAAAAATAGAAAAAACTAGCCAGGCATTGTGATAGGTGCCTATAGTCCCAGCTACTCAGGAGGCTGAGGCAAGAGGATCGCTTGAGCCCAAGAGTTTGAGGATGCTGTGAGCTATAACACCATGGTACTCTACCCAGGGCAGCAGAGTGAGACTCCGTCTTTAAAAAAAAAAAAGAATTAATAGGCTGGGCTAGGTGGCTCACGCCCATAATCCTAGCATTCTGGGAGGCTGAAGCAGGAGGATCATCACTTAAGCTCAGGAGTTTGAGACCAGCCTGAGCAAGGTGAGATCCTGTGTCTACTAAAAGTAGAAAAATTAGCCAGCCATTGTGGTGGGCGCCTGTAGTCCCAGCTACTTGGGAGGCTGAGAAAAGACAATCACTTAAACCCAAGAGTTGCTGTGAGCTATGACACCATGGCTCATAGTAAGACTGTCTCAAAATAAAAAAAAAGTGATGTCAGGTAGGGTATAGATGTTTCTATTAATTCAAGAAACTTTATCAAGTGCTCTGTATGGGTTAGGTGCTGGGGAATAGAGATGGTATAGTCAGTGGTTCTCAACTTTCCCAATGCCACGGCCCTTTAATACAGCTCCTGTGGGTCTCGACCCACAGGTTGAGAACCACTGGTATAGTCAAAAACCCCATCATCAAAGAGCTCACAGTCAACATAAAGCACAAAACAAGGAAGCAGGATAAATGCTACGTTGGAGGCGTACACAACATGTGAGACCACAGAGGAGGGTACCCAACCAAGGCTGGGGAAGGCAAAGCTTCCCACAGTAGGGCTGAGCCTTAATGAACAGATGTGAACCAAATATGTGCACACAGAAGAAACAAAATGTGCAAGACATTAACTCACTCCGAAGTCTATACACTCAGGTAGGTCTGCTAAGTGAAGACCATACACAGTGAGGGGAATGAGGCTGGAAAGGTAAACTACTGGCATTTGCCCAGACATCCACTCAAATATTCATTGAGTTCTCATTATGTGTCAGGTGCTGTTCTAGCTACTGGAGGAAAAGCATGGACAAAACAGGAATGCCTATCCTTAAGGAGCTTACACTCTGTTGCTAGATCACAAAAGTCCAGAGAAACCACTTAGGAACCTATTGTAATGCCAGGCGCAGTGGCACGAGTGTAATGCTCATGCCTATAATCCTAGCGCTCTGGGAGGCCAAGGTGGGTAGATTTCCTGAGCTCAGGAGTTCCAGACCAGCCTGAGCAACAGTGAGACCCTGTCTCTAAAAATAGCCAGGCGGGCTTGGCACCTTAGCTCAGTGTCTAGGGCACCAGCCACATACACCAGGGCTGGCAGGTTCAAACCCAGCCCAGGCCCGCCAAACAATGACAACTACAACAAAAAAATAGCTGGGCGTTGTGGCAGGCACCTGTAGTCCACGCTACTTGGGAGGCTGAGGCAAGAGAATCACTTAAGCCTAAGAATTTGAGGTTGCTGTGAGCTGTGATGCCATAGTACTCTACTGAGGGGTGACATAGTGAGACTCTGTCTCAAAATAAATAAATAAATAAAATAAATAAATAAATAAATAAATAAATAAATGTAGCTGGGTGCTGTGGTGGGCACTTGTAGTTCCAGCTCCTGGGAAGGCTGAGGCAAGAGAATCACTTGAGCCCAGGAGTTTGAGGTTGCTGTAAGCTATGACGCCATGGCACTCTACCAAGGATGACAAAGTGAGACTCTGTCAAAAAAAAAAAAAAGGTGAGGCAGCACCAATGGCTCAGTGGGTAGGGCGCCGGCCCCATATATTGAGGGTGGTGGGTTCAAACCTGGCCCTGGCCAAACTGAACAAAAAAAAGCCAGGTGTTGTGGTGGGCACCTGTAGTCCCAGCTACTCGGGAGGCTGAAGCAAGAGAATCGCCTAAGCCTAGGAGTTGGAGGTTGCTGTGAGCCATGACACCACAGCACTCTACTGAGAGTGATAAAGTAAGACTCTGTCTCTACAAAAAAATAAAATAAAATAAAGGAACCTATTATAATAAATAAAACAGGTTAAAATGATGAACACGAAATTTAGGGTCAAGAGGAAAAGAGACAGAATTATTTAGGATGCAGAATTAATGAGACTTCTGATAATTAGATGTGGGAAGTGAATAGAAGGAGTCATGTTTATCCCAGGTTTCTTGTTTCAATGACCAGATAACTAATAATGCCATTCACTAAATATATATAGTCAGCCCTCCCATATCTGTGGGTTCTGCA